TTTGAAATTCATCCGAAATTTGAACCCAAATTTATCTGAAATTTGAATTTTGAAATTCATCCGAAATTTGAACCCAAATTTATCTGAAATTTGATTTTTGAAATTCATCCGAAATTTGAATTTTGAAATTCATTCGAAATTTGAACCCAAAAATTTATCTGAAATTTGAATTTTGAAATTCATCCGAAATTTGAACCAAAAAATCTTATCCCGAAATTTTATCCGATTATGAATAGTCTTGACACGTAGGAACCCGTAAATCTTATCCGAAAATATTATCCAAATTAATTATTGAGGTAAAAAAAATTGTGAATAAAACAAAAAAAATGAATAGTAACTGCCCTTAGCAAGGGCAACGGGTGGAAACTCAAAATTCGGATTTTGCAAGGGCAACTACTATTCACGTGAATAGTAGCTGCTCTAGCTCCCCCCCTTGCCATGGCTAAGGGCAAATGGGTGGAGTTGCTTTTAAAGATGTGGTGGCTAGTTGGGGGGCAGAGGAGGGAACTGTTCTTGAGTGTTGGTTGGTTGGAGAGGGGGATGCAGGTTTGGACCAAAACACCCCTTAATAGATAACAAAAGTTAGAATAATTTGATGAAAATTAGAATTGTTATTGAATTGCTACAATTATAAAAGAGTGGTGATTTCCCCACTCCTTTTTCTCCTATTTTATCCACTTACACTCCTTTTTTATAACTAAAAAAGGAGTAAATAAAATAGGAGTGAAGAAAACATTGCCCTTATAAAACTACAATGGCAAAATTGACGGAATTGAAATTACATGGTCAAAAGTGGTTGAAGTGTCAAACTACAAGAACCAAAAGTGACTTTTAGAATTTGAAATATATTTCAGTTTTTAGTTTTCGTTTTCACTTTTCCTATCATCTCTTCTCAATCCTATCTCGACGATCATTCTCTCTCTTTTTCTTCTATGTCCTAGTAAAAAAAATTAAAATGATTATCAAATATGGATTATGTTTTTTTTTCTTTTCAAAAGTTGAGAAATTTATTACATCTTTTTTTTTTCCTCTCCCTTTTCTCTCGACCATTCTTCTCCTTTCTTTTTCTTTTTGGACAGAGACCATTCTTCCTTCTTCTTCGTCTCTCTTCTCTGCAAGTCCTTTTTTTATCGAAGTTTTTGGTCAAAAGTGTAAGCTTTTCCATCTCACACCTTTCTCTCCATCCATCCATCTCTTAAATTATATCAAGATCTGGGGGCTTGGGATGTCGGCGGCCTTGAGTTGGTATTTGGGTTCGGCGATGACGCTTGGGACGTCGAGGCTACATCCACCCCTCTCTCTTTGCTCTATGGATGTGAATAGTGGGATTGTAATATTGGGTTGTGTTTTGGTGGGGAAGGAAGTTGGGGGTTTGGTTTTCTTTTGCTGGAGGAGATAACTGGTGGGAAATCTTGGTGTTAGATTTTTTGTGGCTGTGGAGATGACAAAGTGTGGAGCTAAGGTTGGGGTTTTTTTTGCTAGGAGGGGAAGAAGATCTTCTGGGTCTATAAAATAGGGAGGTGGGTTGGTGGGGTTTTGGGTTGAGATGGTAGTTTTTTTTCATTAGCAGCCGCCGCACCCTTTTTTTTTCCCTCTCTCTCTTCCATGGCTCCTCTATCTCTTCTTCCTCCTTTCTCCTTATTCTCGTCTTGTTTTTTTTGGTATTGGGTCTGGATTTCTTGGTCTAGTTTTAAATTTAATTCTTGGTACTGTGTTTGTAAATCTAACCCGTTGTCTGGTTTGGGCTCGATCTGTGTTTTGTCTCTTACAAATCTTTCATTTGAATGATTTTTGCTTAGTGACTCATGTTTTTTGTTTGACTGGTTGTAGAAATAAAATGTATGGTGGCAGATTGAATCTGTTTAGAAGGTAATTTAATAAGATTTCTTGTTCGTCTAATGAATTCACTATCTTTGCCAAAATCATAAATTTCTTTGGTTTTTTAGTGGGTATTTTGTGTTTCTTTATTTTGAGGATTTATTTGTGTTTTATGTTTATGTAGGGCAGATGCGGTTAATAGATGCTCTCAGGGGAAGAGGCATGCCTTCCATGTATTCATGGTCTTGTAAGAGGTGAATTTCCAGAATCCATGGTCGGAAAAAAATCTTCTTGGGGAGGTAAGAGTGACCGTTTAGCTGTTAGATTGTTACTCATTCTGTTTATGAATTAGTGTAGAGATAATCAAGCTATAAAAGCTCAGAGTCTCACTTCTAAATTGTAAATTGTAACATTGAAGAAATTCAGAGAAAACTTTGTTCGATTCTCTCTGTTTGTGTGCTTACTTGTCTTTCATTTGTATCTTTCTCTTTGGTTATTAATTAGACTAATTGAATAATGCTAATTAAAATTACACAAAACCCAAAATAATGGAAATATCATTGCTTTCAACTAATAGAATAAGTGGCTCCAGTTTTTATCTATAACCCACCAACAAACCAACGGAAGGGTTTAGTTGCTATGGCATAAGTCTATATCATTGTTAGGTCTTAGAAATCATTCCCACCAAAGCTAAGATTAGTTTCTTAAGCCCTTAAGCCACCCCAACACTAACAACCAACATGGTTTTAGTAACTGTATAGTTGATAAGGCCTTTAGCCATCATTTTAGTTGGTTAGTGGGCTTAATACTTAGAAACAAAATGGTGACTATAGCTCAATATTGTAGTAGTGCATGAATTGCCTGTCTTTCTCTTGATGATCACTTCTCTAGGTATCTTGTGAAGTTTTAGTTGATGTCGTCGTCATTCTAATGGCTTTCGCGGTTTTTGTTTTGGTTTTGGTTTTTTCAGAGTAATGGAAGTGTGTGCACGATCAGCTGGGAAGATTACTAAGGTAGAGGGTTACTGTGAATCCGGGTTAGATCTATGGGTCGATTTAAAGGTAATCAAGAAAAATGTAATGGGGATTGTGACTGAACAGAATTACAAGTTTTTTCATATATTTGTGGGCAATATTTGTACATCTTCTTTCGTTTTGTTTTTTTGCTGGGATTATCGGATGTGAAGAATGTGGAAACTATTATAGTATCATCTTGATCTACTTTGAATTTGTGTCATGTTAACCTCACTCTTACTTCTCATGGATTTTGAGTTTCATTTGACATTAATTATTTTTTTATTTATATTTTTATAAAACTCAATATCCTCTTCCTTTTGGCTAATTTTCAGATAGATAGCAATCCAGAAAATGATTTAGATCATAGTGACTTGCCTCAACCCACTGCATCCCCTCAAGGCTTTTCAACAAGAGTGCAACTCACAGATTTGGGGTCACAACCAATTCTTGGAAGCAATTTTGATACCGATGAAAGAGGCAGTGGCCTACTCATGTCAGCCTCTCCAGATGCTGATGTGAGCACAATCAAAATCAGCGAACGAGCTTCTAACGCAATGGAAGAGCTTTCAAGCATGGCTTTTGCTCAAGAGCCTCTTTGGCAAGTTGACATGGCAAGCCATACTGAAATGCTAAGTGATGTTGAGTATATGAGAGTGGTTAAGGTGAGAGAATGTCAATCGCCCCCAAGCTTGGACGTTGACAACTCTCATGAACTTGAACCAGTTCTTGCAGTTTGTTCTGAATCTTCACGAGCAGTTGAGTACTTCGAAACGAGGCCTATCAGCATTATTGAACTTTTGATGGATTTGGTAGGTTCTCTTTTGATTAAACTTATTTAGTGTTTTTCTATGAAACAAGTTTGAAAAAGAAAGAAAAAAAGGTTTTTACCATATAAGGACAAATAGGCGGTAACCAAGCCAAAATGGTTCAGCCCCTCAAAAATTGGACAAACCAGTCCAGTGACATAAGAGTTATTTCATGTAACTTTCGGACGGTGACTGGACCGGTTTGTCCAATTTTGGAGGGACTGGACCATTTTAACATTTTGTCTTGTGTGAAGGACTTTTTTTTTAATCATTTTCTATAAAAAAAAAACGTGAGATATTATCAATTGATTGCTTATATTTTGATTGATAATCAGGAGCAATGGTCACTTGCTTTTTCCAATATTGTCTCTAAAGCAACGCTAGTGGGAGTTTTGGCATCGACAGGAGTGGAAAGACACTATGATGGAACTCTCCAACTGGTAATATATATAAATAGGAACCTATGTTTCATCCAACTATAAATGTTGTGTATTTGCTTCATCCTCCTATCATGAGATAATTATGACAAAGTGCATTATAGTTTTGCTAAGTGCAGTTGTCCACGCGTGGCGACTACACACAATTTGATGTGGGATCCACAGTGAGTCCCACACTAATTATGGCTGACACTAGCATTAATTCTTCTTATAATAACCATCGTACCGTAAAGTTAATTCTCAGGTTATTGTTGTTTCCAGATGACAGCTGAGTTTCATGCCCCATCACCACTTGTTCCAACAAGAGAGAGTTCTTTTGCAAGGTATTGTAAAAAGCTAGGCTGTGGCTTGTGGGGAGTTGTTGATGTGTCCCCGGAAACGTTGCTCCAATTTCCATCAAGAAACTTTCGAAGACGACCATCAGGCTGTTTGATTGAAGAAATGCCAAATGGATGCTCTAAGGTTACTAGACATACTTATGTTAATTAGCATGGTTGAGAAAAACATAGTTAATTAATTGTCAATAGCTAACGCAATTAATTTTTGTTCATATGCTAGGTTATATGGGTGGAACATGTGGTGGTGGATAACAGACTGGTTCATCATTTTTTTCAGCCGCTGGTCACTTCTGGTTTTGCATTCTGTGCAAAGCGTTGGGTTAACACTTTAATTCAGCATTTTCAATGGTCTGCAACTGTAAGGGTTCCAAACAGTCCTACTGATCGTGGCGGTAATTAATTAATTAAATCCCAATTAATTTGTTTCATCCATCTTGATAAAATCAAGTGAACTATATTTGAAAATTTTCTTTTGATTACGTGGATCGACTTGGATTTAGATGCCCTAATTAAATAGCTAAGCTTTTTCCCCTTATTTTTTTGATTAGTGATTATACCACAACCGCAAAGAACATTCTTCTTGAAGTTTTCGGCGAGAATGGTAAAAAGCTTTTTCATGGACATCGGTGCTTCAAGAGAGAACAAATGGATGCCATTTCCAATGTCGGGTGCTGATATAATGATATCGACAAAGAGTAGCACAGATGACCATGGGAAGATTCTAGGTACAACAGTGTTCGCTACTTCTGTCCACCTTCCAGCCCCAAGTAAACAAGTTTTTAGTTTACTTCGTGATGTCAAATTTCGGAGACAGGTATGTGTTCAGAATTTTGAATATGCAATGTTTTCTTTAAAAAGAAAAAAAAAAAAAAAAAAGGGGCATGCAAGTAGCTCTTAAAGCGTACATAAAGTTACGTTGGTGCCTAGTATTAGATTGGATAACGCATAACATTCTAGGTATGCTGAAGTGATAAATGAAGGCTGAGATGAAAGTTTTTTCATTCTTCTGGGATTGTAAGGATAAATCTCATTCATGACTAATCAATCTTACCTTCAACTTGACAAAATTTGAAGGTTTGCCTTCATAATTTCTTCATTCAACGTACCTTGACTTTAGTGGGTTATCCAATCCAATCCAATCCTAGGCACATATTTTAACTATAATCCTTTCATTAACATCTATCAGAAAGAGATCGATCATGTCTTCGATTTAACTTGTGTATATAAAACAGTGGGATATCTATGGACGCAATCATAGATTCGATGAACATGCTTATATAAGCAATGGTGACAGTCCAGAAAATGGGGTTTCTATATTGCGAGCCATTAATGTGAGTTGCAGATAAATTCTAGGTTTTTTCCCCCTTCCCCTTCTAAATGCATTTAAGCTTAATATAGAATTGCTTGATTTTATATGTATAGGATGAAACAAAGAAGATCAAGGCATTGTACATGCAAGAGAGCTATGCAGCCTCGACAGGCTCATACATAGTTTATGCTCCCTTTGATTATAAGCATGCCGAGAATAAGTTGATGAAGGATGAATGGCCAGACCACATACCTATCTTGCCCTCAGGGTTTTCTATCCTTCCTGACGGACCGATCCTCCGGGGCGAAACTGGTGGAAGTCTTTTGACCATTGCCTTCCATGTCGTTGCTAAATCGCCAACTGATGAACATGAGCCTTCTAATCAGCTAGGGTTCCTTATGCACAATATTATTGCAAACACTGTGATGTCAATCAAGGAGGCCCTAGGATTCTCCATATGATGTACAAAGCAACTACTAAAACTACAAATGATTCTGCACAAGTTTATTGTAAGCACTTGAAATCATTGCAAGACGAGGCTCCTTCAAACTGAGGAGGAGCTCCTCTCCACAGCAAATGGGATTTTGACATGTGTCAAAACTCCATCTGTTTTGAGGAGCACCCCCTCAATTTTAATGGGTGGAGGTAAAGCAAATGTTGAGTATGCTTTAAGAAAATATAAGGATTTTCAAACAAATTGTATGAGCAATTAACTCCAAAAGTTAATTTAACTGAGTCAGTTAACCAGTTTTGTCCTATTAGTTTATGTAATGACTCTTATAAACTGATTACAAAAATCTTAATCAATAGGCTGAGACCTGTTCTCTTAAATTGTATTTCCAAGAATGAAGAAGCCTTTGCTTCGGGAAGATCAATCTCTGACATTATTCATATTGCCCATTTGTATTTTCATAATTTTAAGAGGAAGATGGGTTCTAGAGGAGCTATGGCTATTAAACTTGATTTAGAAAAGGCCTATGACTTCTCTTTTGAGGTCGGAATCAAGTTTCATTGATAGAATGACAATGTCAATTATAAGATAGTGGAACTCATAACAATGAGTCCAAACAAATGCAACAGTTAAAGCTGACTAGAAATAAAACCCGAACATGCATAAAGTCTACAATAGGCATAAAGTCATAGTCCAAAATTGACATAAAGCTACAAACACCACCGAACGCCAAAATGCTGCTGCCGCTGCTTCTGTGAAAACCGAGACCTCTCCACCAGGACTAATGATGAGTGAAAGAACTGCAAACACACCAAAACACACAAAACAAATACAAAAACTACAAATATGAAATCCCTCGCAATACATAAACTGACCATCAAAGACTCAATAACTCCTACAAAAACGAAACCACCAAAGCACCAAGAGGGAAACAATAGCCAATCCAAGAACAAATCGAGGAAAACACTTCCCAAAGCCAAAGAAACCAACATCCTAAGCAAGGAAGGAGGTCGTAACAACCCAAGAATGGAAGAAGGTGGTGCAAGCACCCGAGCAAGAGCTCTACACATCTTCTGAAAGGGACACGAAAAATTGTGTTTGGGATTAGTCGCTGCAGCCCATGAAGGTCGATAGATCCAAGAGGGAGATAGAGTCCTCGAAGAAGCCATATAAGGAGGGAGGAATTTAAAGGGAGCTGGGAAATTAAAAATAAAAAGAAAGAAAGATAACAGAGATGGAATGAAGAGGAAGATGGAAATTGAAAGGGGTACCCAGGGGGTAGGGAAGGAGGGGTAGTGGCCACCTCCTCCCTTGCTGCGTTGAAAGACTAAGGGTTTGAGAGAGGGTGCGGCGCTAGGGTTTTGTCACTCTTGGCCTATGACCTCCTTGACTGGGGTTACATTAGATGTTGCCTCACTCAATTTGGTTTCAATAATGCTTGGTGTGATCGAGTTATAAATTGTATTACTAGCACTTCCTTCTCTATTATGATTAACGGCTCTTATCATGGTCATTTTAAAGCTTCTTGAGGTATAAGGCAATTTATCTTATGCATGGAACCGTTTATTAGACACTTTAACAATCTTGCCATGTCTCCCATGAAACATGTTGGTTTTTATCCCCTAGTGATTTTCGAATTTCTAATCTAGTTTTTGCAGATGACTGTCTTATTTTTGCGAGAGCTACTTGAAGGCTGCAAATAACATTAACAATTTACTCGAAAATTTCTCTAGAGTCTCAGGGCAAAAAATTAACTTATATAAATCCACGATTTATTTCTTTGCTAATGTTCCTACTAGAGCAAGACTATCCTTTCTAACTGTTCACCCCTTCCAAAGTTCCCCACTGCCTTGGAAACCATTGACTGGTCAACAAGACAGCTTTCTTTAGGGTATGAGCGTGCCACTGCTAGTGGTGAAGACTCTAGCAGACTTCTTCTAGAAAATAGATAGCTTGCGCCCCAAGTTACTGATTTCTAAAACAAACGATTGTGAATTTGGGTGATGAATACCTCTCAAGTAAGTTCTTTTCATGCCTCAGGCTGGTGAGGACTTTCATAATTTATCTCAGTATAAAAACAGTTGTTCTGGCCAGAATAATTGATAAAAATTGGATTGTTTTAGGCAGAACTGCCCTTTACAAAACTATGGACATACATATCAACGCTAGAAAGATTAAAAGACAATTAGGACTCCATTTCTGCCTGGACAGAGGGCTCTGATCCGAGCTAGACTGGATATGTCTGGGCTGGACTGAACTGTTAACAACTTCAACTGTTAAGCTTCAGCTGTAAATCGATACCAAAGTTCAATTTTGGCAGAGCTTTGATCTACTTCAAGCTTTGCGAGGCTTTTGAGTGGACAGAACTGCGGCTTCTTCAATTCTGAAGGGGCAGAAGTGGTTGTTCTTGAGGACTTGATGTACTAAGGACTGCACTGTGAAATTTATTGAGGTTTTCATGTTTTGGGAAAAACTCAAATTCAACCTGTCTTGGCTTTTGCTGAACCAAATTTGTAACGAGAGAAACCTCGTTTTAAATGACTTATTTTCTAAGTATGAACTTTGGGAATTCTGATATAAAGCTGGCTTCTCTTGGAGTTTGAGTGAGCTTTTGGTTGATTCCTTGTTGTTTGTTTGATTGATCAATTGAGTGTGTTTTGTTTTTTATTTTGATTGTGATTGTCGTTGCCCTGTTCACTCTCTCTTGTATTTATATAAAAAAAATGCATAGGGGTAGGGTTTTCTTTCTTTTAAAATAATGGACGGCAAGTCTTCTCAAAGATCTACAAAGAGATATAAGAGAGGGAAGATTTTTAATTAAATTCTGGCAGATAGGCTTTCATCAATCAATCTTAGAGATCACTTCCCTATTTTTAAGAGAAAGCCTAATTCCTTTTCCCAATTTAACTACCCCTTGTGTGATTTCAACCGTGATGGTTAGTTTGATTTCTTCAGTTTGAACAGATCCCCTCTTTCCCGCTTATCTCCTTTCTAAAAACATAGCCTGCGTATCCCTTAAAAGATAGTGCCTCTCTGGAGTGGAAACAATATCTTTGAATATATAAGAGGGATTTTGATCTTTGGCTGGCAGATTTTCAGAGATGTCTCTTCCTAGTTTGCCATCCACTGCCCTTTTCTTTTTAAAATTTCCAATCAACTCTGTGATAGTTGAAATTGTTGACTTCTTCATTTCTGATGGTCACGTGGGTTCTTTGAAAGAATAGGCTTTAATCAAGTCTCAGATATTTCATTTTGATTATGCGCTAGTGGTTTTTTCTTTTTCTTTGCAAAAGGGACTTGGACCCTTTTTTTTTTTTTTTTTTTTTTTTTTATAACTAAAGGGGTTCTTTGATGTTGGGCTGAGGCTTTTACTGTTTTTGGACTGAATGTGTATTTATGGCCCAATTTCAAAGAGGTGTTTGGTGGCTGCCAAAACTGAGATGGGCTTTTATTTCCTTATGTTGAGTATGCCAATTTAGGCCCAAACACTTACCTCCTCCAGATCCAACATTAACTACTTTATGCTGGTATCCTGGCATTCACAACATTGTTTTTTGGAAAGATCCAGACAATGCTAAACTCATATCGTGACCATTGGACTTAGGCACACTATTGAGCGACTGCTCCTGTCGATGTTGCATGGTCTATTCAAGGCCTTTTTGCAGCTGAGCCGAATGCATCTGTTGCTCGTGCAGCTGCCTCTGAGTGTCGTCAGCTTAAAAGAGAGATGTTGTGCTCATGCATCTTCGCCTTGTCCTATCGTAGGAATTCTATTTGAGCAAGAGGTTGGCTTCAGTAGTGCTTTGCCGAGCGGATGTCTCTGGCAATAGCGTGTTGGCAGAGGAGCGGGGCTCGCTCTGATGTTGAGGTCGAAGATATGGCCATCGGGTGCGAGGGATGAAGGTGTATTCATCTTCGCTCAGCAGAGATATGGGTCAATTAGTGACGCTTCCCACAGATGGCGACAATCTGTTGGTGCTCAAAACTAGATGACCAGTAATCGGCCAAACTTAAAGATGAGGTGTGATACCTAACGCACTGATGTGGTACTAGTTAAAGGCCTCTGATGCTAAAGTTAGCCGAAAGAGAGATGAGTTAGCTATTGACAAAGTAAGGGCATGAGTATCAAATACAAATAGCTGTTACCTTGTACCCTGGGAGCAAGATGCTCTATTCATAGAGGTTTTGGGTGTTCTCTTGGTGTGAGGTTTCGATGTGGGACTCGTGGGAGTAGCCTGGGAGGCTACCACGTGTTGTAGCGAATATGCCATTGATGAACCCGAGAGATTCCTGCAAGATACCTTCTGGGAGGCTGAATCGGCAAGGGATGCCAAGTCTATTGTGAGCTTGTGCGATGGGCCAGCCAGCGTGCAATCGGTAGTGGGTGCCGAGGACACCTATCAATTGCGAGGCTAGGCTTGCCAACATGGGCTACTGGGCCTTGCTTGGTGTTAGGTCTTTTCCACGTGTCATGGCATGATAGGCCGGTCAGATATGGTACAAACACAAGTGAGAAGTCATTTGCATAGGTTTCTTTCTCATGTTAACCCTGAGTGTCCCCTGTGCGACAATCAAAGTGAAACTATTAATCAGCTATTTTTTAAGTGCTCTTTTGCTACAAGTATTTGGAGATGTACCTCAATCCTTCATGTAACTCTTCAGCGTGATTTTGATGGGATTACTTGGTTGTCTACCCTTCGAAGTAAATCAATTGGTGACGACTTGAATACTCTCACTAAAGCTTTACTGATTTGCTGGGAAATTTGTGATTCTCGAAACAAATGTGTTTTCCAAAATGTTCCTCTCCATCCTGCGAAGTCCCTAAATGTTGCTGGTCAAATTGGTATGGACTGGTGGAAACAAAATTCCAAATCTTCTTTAAGATTGCAGTGCGTGACTGACATCAAATGGGAGCCTCCTCCCATGGACTGGGTTAAAATTAATTTCGATGGATCTGTTCGCAATATTATGGTTGTTACTGGTTTTATTGTTTGTGATTGGAATGGACATGTGTTGTTAGCAAGTGCTAAAAATATTGGTCAAGCTTCGATAGCTGTTGGTGAGTGTCTTGCCTTGCCCATGCCGTCCATAATGGTTGGCGTAAGGTTTTTGTGGAAGGAGACTCTAAACTCACTATGGACTGCATCAACTAGGCGGTTTCTATTCCTTGGGGTATTATGATGTTAGTTCAAGATATTTGGCTGCCGGCTTCGTTTTGTGAAGAAATTTCTTTTAATCATGTCTTTAGAGAAGCCAATTTTACTGATGATGCTGTAGCTGATTTAGGCCATGACCTTTCTTCGTCTTGTCTTTTGCAGGAGCATGGACTGCTGCTGAATTGTTCGTTTCCTTTTTATTTTGAATTATTTGGGCCTGCGTGTCCTCGTGATTTCATATTATAATTCTCTCTATTAAAAAATAATAATAATAACTCTCTAGTGGTGAAATTTTCTTTGTTGTTCGTTTTAAGAAATGTAAGGATTTAAAAATAAATGAACCAAAATAGCAAAATCAACCCTGTGATTAACAGTGGGGTCAAAAGAGTATATGAACATCGATATTGGTTCATTACAACGGCCATTGTGAGTGCTACCAAGTTCTTCGATGCTTTTATATGCGGGCTTAAATGATGGATTGGACGAGAGACAAGTCTCACAGGGATTATGTGTTAATTAAATCGATAACCTGGATTACGATGGATTACGTCCATGTTAATATCTTACAATCTCAACAAATTGTGCCAATGTCATATACAAAACCCCATTTTAATCTAAAGATTCATGAGGGGATTTTAGTACTTCAACCTATCCACCACGACCACAAAACAATTAATACTCTCACTTTGTGTTAAAATCAGCCGCCATTCATCTTCTTGGAAGAGTATCTGAAAACAAAAAATCATGGAAGGGTGGACCTGCGAGAAGGTGAACGCCAAATTTCATAAGGCATCTATACAAAATATAGCATAATGGTGCATACTTAATTATACACGGCGTATACCAGTCCATAATCCTAGCCAATTCTGGTTCGTGCATACTTTTCTTTTTAAACAAAAAAGAAATAAAAAATCATTTTCAACTAGCAACAGGATGTGATGGTACAGATGAATTGATATATTGATCACAGTTCTTGTCGAAGCTCTGAGAAGAAGTTTAAGTAAATCCTTGTAACTATTTCAGGGTTTTAGTAAAACAGGTTTTGATAAAGGATCCTAACCTTCTTGTCCACCAAGAATATAAAACGGAACATGTGCAATCATCTTCGTTGCACCATCACTCCACTTGACAGTGCCTGGGTTCTGCATTTGTCCATGTGAAGGTCGTGAAGGACCCATTACAGACAAGGAAATTGCAGGTTCGGTCATTAAACCCAAATAATCACGAGCCCGCCGCCAGACCCTCACATCTGATATTCGAGACCGAGCCACCTGGGGATACAAAACAATTTACTAGGCGTGAACTGATGAGGGAATTTTGGCAGCACATTATGCTACAACGGAAATCCACCTCCTCCACTAAAACACATAGAACTTATGTGTAAGAAAATTGTAACGGAAAAACATAGACACTACTCTGATAAGGAAATAGCTAAGCTTATGAGCTTATGGTCAAAACTGAAAGTCAAACCTTGCCCAAGGAAACCCGTGCCCTAGGCAGCAATTCACGATGGTTGGTAGCCAGCTTTGCAATGGCCGTAACAACAAAACATAGAAGCCTTGATTGGGATGACTTTCTGGAAGTTTGGCTATCTGAGCTAAAGACTGACTCCTGTCCGAGGCCTAGACGGCTTCATAAGAAAACAAAAAGAGAAGAAAAATGTCAGCAAACAAGAGGTTGCCATTGCTAGGGACATATATGAGACAAATCAAACAACGGTTTTATCTGTTACCTAGATGCAAGGTTTTCATACAGGAGTAGCTCTAAACCCTCAAAAAGCTCACGAGCTTCATCTTTGTGTGATCCTCCACCCCCACCATGCTCTCCGATGGCCCAACACAATTGTAATGCCAACTCTGTCTATGGAAAAAGAAAAATGTAATACTCTACATTGAACTACGAGACCTACAAACTTCAACAAATGATGAGGTAATCAACTGACCTTTTCAGGGCTGTCATATGCTTCCCCAAGCCTGTCCATTATAGGCTTCTGCAAAGATTGAAATCACATTGTAAACTTTCAATCAAGAACAGTAGAAAATATCTTACAATAACATGTTAGTAGAGTTAGCCATGAGTCTACTACAAGGCACGTATCCAGTATATTTTTCTCAATTTCCATTTTGCCCTTTAAATTTAAACCATATTTAAGGTTTGAACGAAAACCCACAAGAACTGAAATCCATTACTCCCACCTGCTATCTGGTCAAAATTGTGCACCTCATAATTTCTAATTACATAACTTGAGAGCCTGCTGTGTCACCAACAGTTGCTAAAAGATTGAAAAGCAACACAGATAATTGAAATAAATCGAACAATAATAAATGACTGAAGTAAAATTGTTTTTGCGACACTACCTTCAAAAGTGCAATAAAATCTGGAGAGCGCTGAAATGCAGCAAGCATGAATTCTAAAAGCCTCTTACGAACCTATAGACATGCATAAATTCTCATAAATAAGATTCTCCATCTCTTGGAAATCGCATGAGTTACACATACATCATGATGATTCCAAAATGACAAAGGATGATAAGAGAACAGGCATCATGCAATCAGATTTCACAGAAGTTCACAAGAAAAGTTTATGATACATAGCTTTAAAGAATAATTCAAGCTCAAACCATGCATATAATATGAAAATGAGTAAAGAAGAAAAGTATCAACACCCATATATACCAGGGTAGCACCAAACCTTTTTTTTTTTGGGTACACCAAATCAAGGATACTGAATTGTAAGAAACAAGAATGATGCAAATATTCAGTTTCTTGAAACTATAACAGTCTCCAATCATCATTGTCCATCATAAAAAGAGGACCAACTATCTTGGGTGCGTCGTGTGACTGGTGACTCTAGTGCCTCAAGTGTGACAAGATCAAAGAAAATGACATCATTAAGGGCATCATTGTGATACTGGCCAATGATCCTTGCAGAATCAAGTCAAATGAAGTACATCTGATGATTGGTCCATTTCTATGCATCAATAATCATAATATTGTCCACATCTTTCTGTACAGTCTGCTAGGATGCCAAAAGAGCATTGCAACAACCTCAGCACAAGAAAACTTAAAATTTATTTAAATGGATACGCACCTCATATGAATAAATTTTGTCAGGAAATATTGTGGCATTTCGGGACATGAGTAGGGGAATCAATGCACAGACCAAAGCTGGAATAAAATAGAGAAAAAATAACTTATGAGAACAGACAAAAGAAATAAGTTTCAAAAATAAAATCTGTAAACAATAAAATTGATACCAAATTCTAATGAAGAATCAGAGCTATATCTAACATACAATTATTGACATCACGCAATGCTATAGAAAAATACACATCAAGAAACCGTGGTGCCATGCGTAGTATGTGTTTCAGCCTATCAGATTGAGGGGTATTAATTGCAGCCTGTAAAGCCGCAGCCATCCCAGGAGACGTCCAATGGCGTTCCTGAAATACAACATAAATAAAATTTGAGCATATTTTTCTCAAATGTTCAATTCTAAATAAACTTGATGCCATAAAGTAACGGTATCCAGTCAATTATAAAAATGTGCTAAAATCTTGATTCAAATATTTCTGAGTGGTGTACATTAAGAATCATGCTTAAAGGAATCAAATAACAAATAACAAAAAACAAAAGTCCAGTAACAGACCCCGTCAAAGTCTTTACTAAATTCCTTGTGATTACAAAAAAAATAAAATAAATAAAAGAGTTTATGTGATCTCTTGCATCTGCACTCAGTTGAAATGATAAAAAGGACGAATTAAACAAACTGCTTCAAAAATCTGTCCCACTTGCCCATTACACCATTTAAGACAAGGAAAGAAAAGAGAGGATACAAATAAGAGAAATATTCTTTTTCTGTACACTTACAAAAATAAATAATCTACTTTTCGATTGTATCCTAACCAAGTTTATACATTGTGTCACTGCCACTGGCATTAAAACAGCTGTAAGCTGCTGACAGCTGTAAGCTGCTGCAGAATATGCAAATGAACATTAGATTAGAAAGAAAAATCCTTACAGCGATGCCATCATTTTCATCCTTTAGAAGATCGAAAAACAGAGGGTCAGCAACATCAATTGTACTGCTGTCCTCTGATTCAGAATCTCCCCCTCCATCTCCTATTGTTGAACCAGTATATGCCTCATCCATAAGTGCGAGCAGCATCTGAATCAACATAAAAATGGTATGTTTAATAGCAGGATTTCTAAAGTTTCGGATAAACTCATGTAATTAAGTCTCAAAAATAACCTCAGGAGCTGTACTCTTCTGCATTGAGGCTATGCTGTTTCCAACCAGCGACCCTGAGCTCTTTTCTACCTTCTCCAATGCCACCACCAAAACTACAATATAGTTGAGATGAAAAATTATAAATCTCATGCAACTTTAAGAGGAAACTAAGAAAAAGAAATTTATCATAAAGTAAACTCAGCCAAGCCCAGAATGACAGGGCTGCCATGATCAGAAAGTGCTTTATTGTTTGAAAGAAAAAACAAAAAGTTAAATAAGTAAAAAAGACTGTATGACTCTCTGTTCATACAGTTACAAGTTCACAAGTGTATACTGAGTAGGACTAACTGTAGGAGTGCAAACCATCAGCAGCAATAAGACCTCGTGTTTATATGCTAAATGGTGGGACTTTGCAACTGACATTTTGGCTTAATTACTTCAAAATTATTTATGATGGCCAGAACAAATATTTCAAATCAATTTTTTCATAAATGATATCAGAAGGGTGTAGATAAAAGGATCAAAATAAATCCACAAAAAAACAAAAACACATGCAAGACCGAACCAGAGTATAAGCTCTGTAACGTTAAATAAGCCAAGAGATAATGTGCCATCAAAGAAATATGGCGAATACAAAAGATAAATGTGAACTGAATAATCAAACTCACTTGGCAAGTCCACTAAAGATGGAAATAATGGAAGAAATGACCCAGGAGACATCAATCCTGGAAAAACCTTCATAAATGATTTTTCTAATCTGCAGGGAAATTCAAAAAAGATGACAACAATTGGCTTCTCTTTATTTAGAAAATTTATCAAATCAAGTCATCCATTCACTATAAGGCCAAATGGCAATTAGAAATTATAAAAAAAAAAAGAAAAAGAAGAATATTTGTAATGTACATATATTCAATGTGTCTGTGTACAAAGCTAACAATTTGGTCACATGTGATGTGACATGTTTATAAAAAGACAAAAGTATAAATAGAAAAGGCATCTTTGAGCACAAAATCAAATGAGAGGTACCAAAGAACTCACTTTTCCCCATTCCATGCAATCAACTTTAACATCAACGGAAAGAACTGCAGACACATTGTTAAGGTTAGAGATACAGGATGGAGTTATTTCATAACATTCCGTAGGATACTATTACTGCTGATATTGAAAAAGGATCACACAAAAGGAAAAAGAAAAAAAAGGAAAATAGAAGTATAAACTTATAAATGCAATTTGAAATACTTTGACTACAAGGGCACTGATTTTGTTTCAATTCATTTGGTTATTTGATAGGCTTTACCGTTCTGAGAATATTATCAAGAAGCAAGAATTGTCAACTAACCCACGGTTTACATAAAAAATTACAAGCACGATTTAAATTTTTATATTTCATAGCCTTCAAAAGTTGTGTCAAGCATTGTAACTTAGACATGTTTACTAAGTGATTCTTTGTAATTTACATGTTAATGTAAGTGTTTATTGCAGTAGATGCAAAACAACTACACAATTGCGAAGTGCCTCCAACACTTTTGAATAATATGAAAATACAGACTTGAACACTATATTTACTTTTGCTAACAGGTAGATGTCATACTATTTCCTTACAAACAGAAAATGATGTAGGTATCAGTCATACCTGAGGAAGTAAGGTA